GTGAACGAACGTCTTTTTTTACTGTTTATATTTCAGAAACTCTGAAGTTAATTCATTTTACCACATTCACAAAATCGGTGGGAAAAGTGATCAGCTTTTGAGTTATATAAATAAATTTGTGTGGTCACCACAATAATTTTTAAAATTTATTGGGGGCGAAAATATTTTATTTATCTGCCTCTAACGTAACCGTTAACTGATGAATATATTTGGAAGGTCTAGTTTTAAAAAACGTCCGATATATTGCGTTTTTTGTTTTGAATTTTGTCGGCGGGGAGGACGCTGACATGCTCACTTTTCTATAATAGCTTTTTAGGTCGTGAGGTATATACCAATAACTAATTAATATAGGTAACTAATAACTAATTTCGCCTTACTGGTATAGATTAGTGCAATTTTTAGCCAGGAGGCGATTTCTTGCCTTTCAGAGGCTGATCCTCTTAAGATGCCTTCCACTATCCCGAACACTGTCAGTCCTGGCACTGCAGGTGTTTGCTGGAGCCCTGCCTCTTGACTTGGCTCCTACAAAAATGTCAGTCAAGTACATGTTGAAGCGTGGATACGCGCTGGTAGGGGACTACTGGCTCTATTGTGAAGACCTTTCAGGTATAAGCTAGACGCAACGAGTCACCTTCTGTCGGACAGAGCAGATGGGACGACGTAGGTCACCCGGCGGGGTGACTAACAACTTCATCCCGGATGTTTTATTCGCATCTCGTAATCCAAACTTTGGATTCTCTGGCTTCTTGCGGACACGGCACCGATCGTTCAATGCATTTCTGCATAGCAGAGCTCCAGCGATACCGCCGCATGGTCATATGGCGATCTTAATGAAGATTGGGAGCATATTTTTCGTCTTTGTGACCTTTATGCAGGCTTGCGAGACCTTTGGAGGGTAGCTAGCTCTGACAACCACTCAGGACTTAATTCGCTTGTTTGGTTTTGTACTTGAGTAAATTGTTGCACCAAAGTGTTCAAACTGTATACGTTTGGCGGATATTCTGGTGGCTCTGGTGTGACATTGTTCGCAAGGATTTGGGAATATTTGGTCCAGTTAATTTTTTGGGGTTTTGAAAAATTTCTGGCTTTGTAGCTGTGGTCGGAGAAATAGTACTTATCCAGTACTCTCCAATGGGATAAGCAACTGAAAATCTTTTTGGATACTGAGTTAAATCTATTGATTTTTTTTCGGTTTTTAATAATAAAAGTTGTGTCATTTCCCCTATTGCAGAGGAGCAGGGTTTCAATTAAAAATATACTTACCGCAGACATTTGTTTGTGGTGAGCGTCCTCCTATTAGAGGACTTTTGTTTAGCTTCTCGCTGTCTTCCGCTAGCTTTTGCACTAGCTCGACCGGGCGTTTCGATTTTTCGTGGGACATGTATGAAGACAGTACCCGGATTAGAGTTGGCTGAAGCTCCACGATTGCTCCCGCGTTGTCTGATTCACTGTTATTTTGAAGCAAGAATATGCTTAAACGCTAGCTATTTGTCTAGAATGCAGGCTCTAGTCTTATCTTCTTTACTAGCGGCTAGGAGCTTGACGCCCTTGGTCCCTAGTCCAAAAACCCTTCCTCTTACTAATGAGGATTCCTGGACTAGGGCGATGAATTCTGCTAAGAAAGAAAGGAGGAATAAAGTCGTAAGGAATTCTGCTAAGTCCCCCTGCACCATTGTGACTTCTGACTCTTTTTCGTCGGAGATGTCGCCGTCATCCATCCGACTTGTATGACGGATGATCAGACTCCTCGGCGTCTGAGGCTTCGAAGATTTTAACTAGTGCGTCGCCTCCGGAGTCAGATATGTACAACTTTATGGTGCTTATGACACGTCAGTCTGTTGTGGTAAGGTAAGTTGTAAGTTGCAACTCTGGAGCATGGTGGGGAGCTGACTCGGCCCTTGATGGATGCCGGAATTCATATTCTCGTTTCAAGAGACGGGGTCTACAAGCGGATGATCCGGAGCCTGTAACGACTTGCCGACCTGAACAGCTCTATCTATCACAGGCCACAACCTTAACGCTGCCCGGGAACCAGCCCACGTCTTTACAGACAGTTTTAGGGCCTGGTTCCCTGGAATCATTTTAAAACACAGGCGACATACACTTACTTTTCTTTTGGATGCGTTCGTGACCGCTTTGCCTTAGGTTCCGTGGCACGTCGTCAGAGAGTTTCCATTTTTAGCGATTTCCGCGAAAGAGCTTTTCAGCTGCATTCGAAACTGCATTGCCCGGGTAAGGCTTCTTCGAACTGAGGGCCACCAGGTACCCTCAGCCCTCCGTTAGAGACTGAACAGAATTTTTATTCCGGGCCTCCAGCCAAGCTGACTCTCGGCACAGGAAAGTTTTTCGGCAAAGTCTTTATTTGGTATCATTGTAAAATGGTTTTGAGGCACGTTTTTATGTCTGATGTGATTGTCGCCTTATTACTCAACACCTTAAGGTTTCGCCGTAGAAGTTTGTTTAACTTGTGAACTTTGTGGTCGCCTTTTTAACTAACAGCTATTCTAAAGTACAGTAACCATTGACACTCCTTGGATCGCATTTCTAGTCCTTGGTATTAGGTGATTTGAAACAATCAGAGACTTGGGTCTAATAAAGTGACCATCGCTTCATTTGGCGATGAAGTGATGACACAACCCAGAATGCTTTAAGTATCACACTGAAGTATCACACTGCTATGAAGAGTATTATTGCTTTGTTAAAAAGCTTCTTTTTGATATCATTCCATAAGATGGTAAGGTGCAATGGTAAAAGTCACTAGTTGTTCTTTTTTTTTATACCCTTGAAGGTATTATAATTTTTGCAACGCAGTGATCATTTTCGGCTTTATAAAATAATTCTTGATCGGGATCACCTCCGATAAGCTGTCCGTCTGTCTAAAAACGTTTTTTCTGTTTTTAAACAAACTAATTTCGATATTTGTGATATATATACCGCCCCATTTCTATCCACCAGTATATATATTTTCCAGGGTCGGGGATGCCTGCTTCACTGCGTTACACACATAAAATAGAGGGGTACTCCGCACGGAGAATTGAAAATTTTTAATAAGCTTTTGAATTAGCTTACAATCCTGATTCCCTTTGGGGAAGGGCATATTACAGAAAAAAACAAGAAAAGCTAACTTCGGACGGAGCCGAAGTTGATATACCCTTGCAGTTAAAACCGGATATATATCGCAAACATCGGATATAGTTGGCCGATCCTTATGGGAATATCATAATAAAACCAATTAATTACAATAAAATATCTTTAAAAAAAAAGTCCCAAGCTTCTATCTTCAAAAATACCAAAGTTTGTAAATCTCCGATCTCCGAAAAAACCATTTCCGATCGTTCAGTATATGGCAGTTATAAGATATAGTCGACCGATCGTTATAAAATTTGTTAGGTCGGATTAACTGACCAAAACTAAAATCTGTACCAAGTTCCAGGTTTCTATCTTCAAAAACACAAAAGTTGGGTCACTTCCGATCGTTCACTTATATGGCAGCTATAGGATATAGTCGTTCGATCCTTATAAAATTTGGCATGTCGTATTATTCTGCAAAAATAGCTCTCGTGTAAAATTTGAACTCTTTAACTTTAAAAACACTAAAGTTATACCATATCCGATCAATCAGTTATATGCCAGCTATAGGATATAGTCGGCAGATCCCGGCCGTTCCGACTTATAAACTGCGTACAAAGGAAAGAACGGTGTGTGCAAAGTTTCAAGTCGATAGCTACAAATCTGAAAGACTAGTTTGCGTAGAAACAAACAGACAGACGGGCATGCTCATATCAACTCAGGAGGTGATCCTGATCAAGAATACATACACTTCATAGGGTCGGACATGTCACCTTTACTGCGTTATACGCTTTTGGACAAAATTCGAATACCCTCTGCAAGGGTATAAAAAGTTCTAAGCTTCTATCTTAACAAAATTTGGTCACTTCCGATCAATCAGTTAAATGGCAGCTATAGGATAAACTCGACAGATCCTGTTCGTTCCGACTTATATACTGCGTGCAAAGGAAAAAAGGGTGTGCAAAGTTTCAAGTCGATAGCTTTAAAACTGAGAGACTAGTTCGCGTAAAAACGGAAAGACAGACAGACGGGCATGCAAAAGCAGGGTAATACAAACAATTAATGAAAGATAGCTGAAAATTATCGCATGCTTCAAAAGAGAAGCAGATCGATTAATTCGAGCCAAGAGAAAGGAATGTATTAAAAAAATATAAATAATAATATAATACATATAAAACAAATAAAAAATCACATATATAATAAAACAAGAAAGAAAAGCTAACTTCGGACGGAGCCCAAGTTGATATACCCTTGCAGTAAAAATCGAATATATATCGCATACATCGGATATAGTTTGCCGATATATATCATAATAAAAACCAATATCATAATAAAACCAATTTATAAAAATACAAAATCTAAAAAAAAAGTCCCAAGCTTCTTGGTATTTTTGGAAACGAAAGTTCCAACTTTCTATCTTCAAAAAAAACTAAAGTTGAGACATTTCTATAGCAGCTATAGGATATAGTCGGCCGATACTGAAATTTGGCATTTCATATTATTTTGCCAAAAATAGTACTCATGCAAAGCCCGAACTTTCTAACTTTAACAAAAAAGAAAAGCTAACTTCGGGCGGAACCGAAGTTTAAATACCCTTGCAGTTAACACCGGATATATATCGCAAACATCCGACTTATATACTGCGTGCAAATAAGGGAAGGATTTGTGAAAAGTTTCAAGTCGATAGCTTTAAATCTGAGAGACTAGTTCGCATAGAAACAGACAGACAGACATTCTCATATCAACTCAGGAGTTGATCCTGATCAAGAATATATACACTTTATAGTGTCTCCTTCACTGCGTTGTACGCTTTTGGACAAAATTATAATACCCTCTGCAAGAGTATAAAAACAAACAATTAAATAGAAAACCTAAAGCTTGTATTTTGATTACAAAAAAATATTTCAATAAATCATCTTTTTTCATTTTAGCGGGCCCTGGAAGTTTTTTAGTTCGCCCAAGTGATAATTCTCCCGGCGATTACTCACTTTTTTTTCATATCAACAACCAAATACAAAGATTTCGTATCGAAAAAAAAGGTGTGCGATATTTAATGGGTGGAAGAACTTTTGAATGTTTGGATGCAGTAATAAACAGATATCGTAAGGAACAAATTGTGGAAGGCCACTCATTGAACCATCCTGTTGTCAACGGTGTACAGCCTGAGTTTAATGAACAGTATGTGGTCGAAAAAGCCGCTGAAAAAATCTATGCTACACTACGTGAGTGCCGTGACCAAATTGGCTTAAAGAAAATAAAGGGAATCAAACACCATGGACATTTAAATAAGAAATCCGATAAAACTATAAAATGGAAACAACTTTACTTTGCTCTTATCAATGATGGCTCTGAAACTCAACTTTGTTTTTATGATAATCCTAAAAAAACAAAGCCAAAAGGTTTAATTGACTTGTCCTGTGCATATCTTTATCAGTGTCACGATTCTCTATGGGAGCGTCCTTTTTGCTTTCAAATTGTAGAGAGAGCACTACCTTGCCTGGCCACCGTAACTTATCTTTGCTCTCCTAGCCAGGAGAGTTACGTAGAATGGATAAATGCACTGAAGGCACAATGTGACTCACAACTAAGTCGTGCTCAAAAAAAAGTTTCCCGTCTTCGAGAGTTGCGTTGTCTTAATTTGCACGTACTTGAAGCACATCGTTTACCATTCAAATTAGTACCACATCCGTATTGCAGCATTTCTCTTAATCAGGTTAAAGTGGGAAAAACGCGTGTCAAAATAGCTCCAGAGCCCGTTTGGGAGGAGGAATTCATACTAGAGTAAGTAAAAATTCTTCACATATCACATATACCACAAATTTATAAAATTCAAACATAAATTTTGCAACACATTTCTTCATTGATTCGAAAAATTGGTTTCACCTATAAATGGTCAATAAAAAGTACATAACATAGAATTTTCGTATCGACCAGACAAACGCATTGTAGGATGGTTGCTACATTTTGCAATTTTGTTTCTTCGTACGGTGCGGTGCTTTGGCGCCACAAGGCTATAGCTTTGGATTGGGTCTGATCTTGACTTTACTTGTTCTTCCATTAAATCTACGAAAATAAACCCCTTGAATGTGATCCTCGCTCCAGTATTATTCACCAACTGTCTATCGATAAAGGAATCTCATCCTCGTTGATTGCAACACGCTAAACGTGTGTTTTGATGTTGGGATTAAAACTTGATTCCTGCAGACTGGCATAGTTTAGTTATATAGTTGCTTATTATATCTGCGCAGCAGGTATAATTTGCTCAAATGTGGGCAACGCAGTAAAAGAGACAACACTGACCCTATAAAGTATATATATTCTTGATCAGGATCACCTCCTGAGTTGTTATGAGCATGTCCGTCTGTCCCTCTATCCGTCGGTCAGTCTGTCCGTTTGTCTGTCTGTCCGTCTGTCTGTTTCTACGCAAACTTGTTTCTCAGTTTAAAAGCTATCGACTTGGAATTTTGCACACACCGTTCTTTCCTTTGCACGCAGAATATAAGTCGGACGGTCGGTATCGGCCGACTATATCCTATAGCTGCAATATAACTGATTGATCGGAAATGGTATAACTTCAGTGTTTTTAGAGTTAAAGTGTTCGGATTTTGTATAAATGATACTTTTGGCAAATATAACTGAACCATATAAGTGCCAAAGAACTGAACAATCGTAAATATTCCAACTTTCGTGTTTTTGAAGATGGAAAGTTGGAACTTCTCTGTTATTGGTCAGTTGATCCGAATTACAAAATTGTATAACGATCGACTGTATCTTATAGCTGCCATATAATTGAACGATCGGAAATGGTTTTTGGTTTTTGGTAATAATACCTACTTTGGTATTTTTGAAGATAGAAGCTTGGGACTTGTTTTTAGATTTTAGGATTTGGGATGATGCTATTTTTGGCAAAATAATACGACCCACCAAATTTCATAAGGATCGTCCGACTATATCCTATAGCTTCCATATTACTTAACTAGCGGAAATGACGCAACTTTCGTATTTTTAAAGAAAGAAAGTTGGAACTTGGCATATATTCTTGCCATATAACTGAACGATCGGAAATGGTATTTAGTATTTGGTAAAAAGTCCAACTTTGGTGTTCTTGAAGATAGAAGCTTGGGTTTTTTTTTAGATTTTGTATTGTAATAAATTGGTTACATAATGATCATAAGGATCGGCCAACTATATCCGCGATTATTGATATATATATTTGATTTTAACTTCAAGGGTATATAAACTTCGCCTCCGCCCTAAGTTAGTTTTCCTTTCTTTTTTTCTACATCCTACATCCATCCTTCTAAGAAAATATTAACATGGGCGTCATGTTAAATATTAAAGTTTTGACTAATGAAACGAAAACAAATATAAAAAACAAAAGCTTAGAAAATTATGGTCAATAGCAAAAAAATTCGAAAATTCAAATATCTTGACAGTGCTTAGAAAAACTATTACACGTACCACTTGAAAAGCATTAAGGGCCTACAAGTGGTATAAACGGTCCAATTCCGTTGCTCTACGATCTGGAATGGAAAATCGGGAAAATATAAGTTTTGAAATGGTGCGTATGCAGCGATGAAGATAGAACTAAAAAATTCGTTACATATTTCCAAAGTGTTTTCCATCCTAACACTGCCACAAATGCATTTATTCTGCCTCCAATTCATCAATAAACTTCCGGGTGGTGACTTTTTGACTCAAAAATCATGTAAACTATCTTGGCTGATAACCAAGGTAAGGTTAGGTTGAGGCGGCGATGAGAGGCCGGTGTCTAACCCCCATCCACTTGAGCCGCTGGGTCTCCTTGTGATACCGCACAGGCAAGGGTCCTACAAGAGGACCTCTCCCTTCCCGTTACTTATGTGCCCAAGGGTGTTCTATCCTTCCTGCGGCGGCTCCGGTCCCATCCAGATTTACGGATGAAAGCTACGAGTCTGTGTGGAGCGACCTTCGCGAGGTCTGTTAGGTCTGTGAGTATTGCTGCGCCCAAGAATTTGCGTCGGCTGCGCCCCAGCACAGGACATTGACACAGGAGGTGTGCGACTGTCTCTTTTTCTTCTTCGTCCCCAAAGCTCCTGCATTAGTCATAATGTGGCACCGCTAGTCTAGCCGCGTGTGCTCCTATTAACCAATGTAATGGCCTTGAATGGTTAATGGTCAATGGCCCGTAATGGCCTTGATCGCCAGACTACAGTCCTGCCTATTCAGGGCGATAAGCATCATTGACCTCCTCCTAGATCGGATGGGCCATATCATGCGGGAGTTCCTGCAGCTTTGGAGATTTCTCCATTTCCTCAGTGATGCGCGGTCAAAGTGATCCCTGCATTTTAGCCTACATGTAGCTAAAGGGTATCCCTACTGGTTCCTTCTCCGGTAGGAGAGGATTGGTAGTACCTGCTCTTGCTAGTTCGTCGGCGGCGCAATTACCCTCGTGGTCCCTATGCCCGGGCACCCATATGAGGTGTATGTCATGCTGCTCTGCCATCTCGTTAAGAGATCTGCGACAGTCATTCACTGTCCTGGAGTTGGATGAAAGACCGTCAAGGGCTTTGAGTGCGGCTTGACTGTCTGAAAAGATACAGATTGTGTCCTGATTTCCAATAAGTGCTGGGGATCTGAGTGCTTCTCCGATAGCTATTACTTCTGCTTGGAAAACACTACAGTGGTCGGGGAGTCTGAAGGACTCATTTAAACACAGCTGCTCGCAATGGAAACCGCCCCCCACCTGGCCATTCAATTTTGAACCGTCTGTGTAGATATGGAGGGAACCGGCTGGTCCCGGGATTAGTGTGGCCCATTCCTCCCTTGTTGGAATGTAGACCTTGTATTTTAAGGTGGTATGATCGACAGGTACGCAGTAGTCTGTAGCCCCTATTGGTGTGCAGTGGTGGAGGTCCAACTTGGTATTTCCATAGTCGGTCCTTTTCCATATGCCCGTCTCGCGTAGCCTAATTGCCGAAAGCGTGGCTTTCTTGGCCCCCATTATCTCTACAAGTAATAGGTGGAGTATGAAGTCTAGGGCATCAGTCGGTGTGGTACGTATGCTGCCTGTGATACAGACCTCCGACATCCATCGCGTTTTCCTAATTCTCACTCTACATGTGGAGTTTGTGAGAGCAGGCCACCAGATCACCACCCCGTAGAAAAGGATGGGTTTTATGACCGCTGTGTAACGCCATCTTACTATTATTGGGGACATTCCCCATTTAAGGCCAATGGCTTTTCGGCATGTATAGAGCGCGATTGTTGCCTTGTTAGCTCTATCCATGGTGTTTGACTTCCAGTCCAGTTTCCTCTCTAGCGTAATTCCTAAGTACTTCGCGCTACTGCTGGGGGAGAGTGTTTCTCCTAATAGTTTTGGAAGCTTTAAGTTTGGTATTTTGTACCTTCTGGTGAAGAGGACGAGCTCGATTTTGGACGGGTTTACACCTAGTCCATTCCTAACTGCCCATGTTGAGAGGACCTTAAGTTTGTCCGTCATGCAGTCACATAGAGTCTGGGGAAATTTCCCAGGAAAGGCAATTGCGACATCATCCGCATAAGCGATAACTTTGCAACCACCCCCTTCTAGGGATCGCAGTATCGCAGTAGGGGTGAGAGTACGCATCCTTGCGGAGTGCTTCTTCTGACGTATCTATGAATAGATTCTTCTCCTAGTGACGCCTCAACAGTCCTCGGATTCGGACCCTAAAACATATAATAAACATGGTCTGACCCACGGACTCGAATATAATTTTGTATGAGTTTTTTTGAGGTTATGTCAGAACCCTGACGTGCTGGGGTTTTTTGGACCTCGGATTCGGATTCAGCGACCCCGAAAACATATAGTAAACATGGTCTGACCTCCAGACCCGAAAAAATATTCTTTTTTGTGTTGCTGTGGTATCGAGCTTGGTAGGATGTTGTTGAACGCACCTTCTATGTCTAGAAAAGCAATGAGTGTGTACTTCTTGTCACTAAGTGCTGTTATTCCGAGATATCATCGGCGTTATGGTAAAATTAATTAGTTAATCTTTAAGGCTGATTAGTCTCTTCATTGTCTTGAGAAGGAAGGTGGTTGTTCGTGCAGAACTTGGCCCAGGCATTCCTTTTTTCCTTGCGAAGTTCTTTGTTCTATTGCCTAAGGTCCGCTTTATATGACTCCCAGGCTGTCTGTGAGTTTGTTTGGCTGGCAAAATTAAAGGCCTTGCGGGCCTTGGTTTTAAAGGTTGCAAGTGTTTGCGAGAACCATGGTGGTTTCTTTGACTTGCTATTGCCCGATCTGCTTTTGGGTCAAGCTTTATTGAATGCCCACGCTGCCGTAAGCGTGTCCACCATGGCATCCAGGGCTTCCCTACTGTCAACGTCCCCTGTTGGAGGTTACCCCAAGGAACTTTCTATTTTTTTAGTCGATTAGTACCGTTACCGTTATTAGTATCGTACCGTTAGTCGATTAAAGTTCTCAAAGTTGACCACTAATTTTATGTATCGGTGGTCCGAGAAAGAGTGTTTCTCTAGGACTCCCCATCTAACAATCCTGTCTGCTAAGGATTCTGAGTAAAGAGTGACGTCAAGTACTTCCCCTCTGTTCTTGACTATGAAAGTGGGTTCTGTACCCCTGTTAGCCACCAGAAGATTGGAGCCTAGGATAAAATTGACTCACCCCTCTCGTTCGTGTCAGTCCTTCTCCACTGATGATGATGGGCGTTACCATCGCAACCTAAGATCAGGTCGATCTTGTGCTTCCTGCTGTCTTCCACCAGCTGTTTGATTAGCGGGTGCGGGGGGAGGGCCTCCTGGTC